CAAAAACAATACAATTTCTGACTGACGAGTGAATAAACCATCCACGACCGCAGTATTTTCTTGCCATTTTGCTTCATCCGGTAGATCCATTGTTTTGTTATTTGGCGAACACCTCCATTAGATTTCTCATTTTGCCTAGTCACTATGCTGATCTGAAACGAGGTCCTCCATATTTGAAAAATTTCAGACCGAAAATAATCTGGAACTATTACATTCCAAAATGACTTGGAGAAGGGAACTGGAGGCAGACTCCAAAAAGAGTGGGCGCAACTGGGGACAGTTGGAGAGACTTGCCCAAGACCGGGATGCCTGGAGAGCCTTTGTTTGTGGCCTATGCCCCAGACGGGACGACAGGCGATGATGATGATGATTACATTCCAGAGAGGGGCATCTGATAAAATGTTTCAGTTCTTGTTATTAACCATTACACTTGCAGTATCTTAGTTTAAATCAACATTATCAGCAGCCATTTCTGTTTTCAAACCATCCATATCTTTTACTTGTATTTTTACGTCAATCTCTTCCATTTTCTCAACTATTTGCTGAAAATAAGGCATGCTGCTGGTATCGGGAGAAAAAGTATCAATGGTAGGCTGAGGAAACTCTTTTGATGAACCCTGACCCTGGTCATCATGTGGTTTCTGGATATCGAAGCATGTATTCTGGTAGTGATTTTAGTGAATCGTGTATTTTCTTATTTGCTTTTAACTGCTGAGAGACACTTGGCCTTTTAGATTTGTGCAAACCATGTAGCATGATATAAAAATCTAGAACGATTAAAATACTTTAATTTTTTCATGTTCAAGACAACAACAATAACAACAACAACAACAGCAACAACAACAAAATTACTGACGACAGTTCAAAAGTAGCTGTCAAGCACTGTCTAAATACAACAAAGAAAGGTACCAGGTAAAATCCAGCAGTTGAAATATGACAATTGTGCTCAAAGGTTAAGGGGCGATACTAGTGACGAATCGAGGAAAATATTAAATTTTGAGTCTTTCTGGGTTTCAAAATATAATATTATATAATAATATGTCTTTAAAAAATGTTCTTTATTTAAATTTAAATAAATAAGAATTAATCAAAACTGATTTTTGGGGGTAGTGGTTTAAGACAAAAATTTGATGTGTTTTCATAGGCAACAATGTGCCAGGTTTCAGCACAACAGAAAGTGGGTCAATTAGCCATCCCAAGATTCTGCCAGTTCGTCAGCCAGCCACCCACAAACATAAAGGATTTAAAAATAAAAGAGAAAACGTCTAAATTATTAATTTAATCACTCAATGACAGAAAATTGTCAATAATTAACATCAAACTTAAAATTTAAACATACTTTATACAGATCTGTTGAGGTGTGACAAACATACGGTTACATACTCAGCTGTTGAACTAATTAACATATAGTTACATAGACAGCCGTTGAGGTATGATCACATACTGTTACATACTCAATTGTTGAAGTATGATAACAATGTTACATGACTCTGGCTCTATTTAATTCCAAATTGTAAATGCTATTTAATATTTGAAAGGATCTTCACAATACTTGATACAAAGGACAACAAACTATCAAGCATAGAAAGGCCTTAGTCGATGTAGTAAAGAGGGGAATGAACGAATTGCCAAGAGTTGAGCTAAAAAAAACAAAAATCAATGTACTAAAGAAACGACAGGACATAGCCTTAATATTGTCTTCTCATTTCATAGTCCCAGTGTAGATACCAGTACTAATTGTGTATTCTAAATACTAATTATGAAGTCTAGATAAAAATGTGTGGACTAGATACTAAATGTGTAAGTCCCTAAATATTACCATATTACCAGTAGTGAAACCGACACAATAGACAAAGGGTCATGCTGCAAAATGATAACAGTAAGACATTTGTGAAAATACACAGCAGACTTTTTCAAGGCCAACAGGGTTATACTAAATAGTTGAATCAGTTATTTTACAATGGTCAAATGATTACAGGAGGAGATAACCCAATCACTAAAATGTTGAGTATCCTTAAGATTCTTAAGGGCACTAACTACAATGTAACAATTATTTTCATACAGAACTGACCTATAAAAAGTATTTTCTAAGTTTTATATCAATTCTATAGACTTTGTCCTAAATCTGTTACAATTTTGTTGGTTAAAAAGCTTTTGACCATTTCTTTCAAAACAATTAAATCTCCATAATATTAATCCTATTTGGACAAGAGCTGTTTGAGTGCAGCATACTGAGCATGTCCGAGATGAACCTGGCAGGGAAAATTATCATCTTTTGGGGTTGAGATATTTGGTCATTTGCATGGTAATATATCAGAAACAGTAAATTGATTAAAAATATTACAACAAAAATATAAAAAAAACTAGCAGAGACTGTATTGTCTCTCATGGGGCGTGAAGTTGGCAACATAAGAACTTTTGAAAGCTATTGAGGGAATTTGACATCCAAGGCCATTTATCTTATGTAAGAGCAGACACATGTCTGAAAGGGCATTTAGTAGCAGCACTGTACACACCTGTGAAGGGTATTAAACCTGTTCACATTCAGTAATACTAGTAATAGCACTGTACACCATTGCCCACCCTTGACATTTCAGAAACACATCTATCAGCCAACATCGCCCACCCTTCACAATCTCAGGAACACATCTATCAGCCAAAATTTCCCACCCTTCAGAATCTCAGGAAAGCATCTATCAGCCAACATCGCCCACCCTTCACAATCTCAGGAAAAAATCTATCAGCCAACATTAACCACCCTTCACAATCTCAGGAAAACATCTATCAGCCAACATCGCCCACCTTTCACAATCCCAGGAAAACATCTATCAACCAACATCGTCCACCTTTCACAATCTCAGGAAAACATCTATCAGCCAACATCGCCCACCTTTCACAATCTCAGAAACACATCTATCAGCCAACATCCTTCATCATTACAGACATCACAGGACATTGCATTACTATAATTGTAAGAAGATGATTAGCTATTGTAACTTGAAATTTTCCTATCCAGAATGATTTGGTCCAACAAAAGAATGAAAATACATCTATTAAGGAAAGGAATATTAACCACCAGGCATTAACCCACGAACTGTGGCATGCATTATTCTGTGGTGTGGAGATTTTCAGAGCATTTTGGGTGACATTTGAAATTGCATTAAATGACATAGAAATATTGCTACAAGACCCCTATAAGTATATATTTTTAGAAAGGTGAATGGATGGGGATAAAGTTGGCCATATTCCCCACCCCGTAAAAAAATTTTGCTCAGTGTCCTTGACCTTGGAGTTCTCAAGAAAATAAAAATGGACAAAATGTCTTGGTTTCAAGTGCTCATAACATCATTAATTTGTATCGATCCACTTAAACTTAAAACACTTCTCTAAATGTTGTAGCCACTTCATTTATCTTTCAGAAAATGTAATGTTTGCTCAGGTTTTGATTACAATTTGAAAGCAATTTGAGTAATTTTAGGTCATTTATATAAGAAACTAGGACCACAGCTAAAAGCAAGTACAAAATCTCAGGCAAAATAGTTGTTGTTGACTAGTAAACATTTAAAAAGGAACTGTGGACTGATTTGGGTTGTTTAACTATAAAATGTATTAGTTCTGTACTATAATCTGTAGATTCTGTGACTAAAATTCAGACAGTCCTTGCCCAACCTCCGGGTCTGGCTCGAAGTCCAACAGTAGCCTCAGTAGGTCTACTTCAGTATCACTAAGACTAGTATAAAATTCCAAAGAAGAATAATCTCAACTGATATCGTCATGGGGAATGTTAACACCATCATCAGTATCACTTAAAACCTCTCCTAAAAAGCTTTCAAACATATTTCTATTAGTTCTTGCACTGAATGACCCCAGCCATGGCTTTAAAAAAAATAGCGATATAAAACTCAGATTAAAAAATATCTATTTTCCCGTTACCACGAAACAGCTTAAACCGGAAGATGATTTAACTATTAATAAACGGAAGTGGCTATAATTCCGGTTAAATATTGGATTGGAAGTTGCTTTCAGACCGTGTTTTTTATCGGCCGCCACAGTACAGAACGATAATGTTGGCCGACCTAAGTTCGTGGGTTAACACAGCTCACAAATCTTAACTTACCAAATGTACTCCCTTCCTCAAATGACAGTACAGAAAGATTAAGTGCTGAATGCTATAAATACATATCATTTGAATAAATTGTCATGTTATATAAAATATAAGAATAATTTTTAAGTCATTCAAGCCACGTTGACATCCACATTTCATCCATGGCAACACATTCTTTTAACGTCAACACATTCTTTTAACATCCACATTTTATCCATGGCAACACAATCTTTTAACATCAACATTTCATCCATGGCAACACATTCTTTTTAACATCCACATTACTGGTGAGCACACTACAGCCCTCAGTGGTGGACACACTACAGCCCTCAGTGGTGAGCACACTACAGCCCTCAAAGGCATTGAAATATATAAAAAATTCTTTGTCTACAACTACAAGTTATTTCATTGAATTTTACAGAATTTTATGTACCGTTATGATTGTTTTAACATTTTTTATTATATTTCTTTCTAATTTCCTAGTTTTTAAACAGTACTTAACTTTTGTTATGTAATGCTAAAATGCGAATTTGACGATTTTAATATAAGAAATGTTTGACATGTAAAAATTGGACATAAAATTGGCCTTTTGCACAAAAAGTTTGCCAACCCCTGATCTAGATGATGTCAATTGTTAACAGCTTGCACATTCAGTTGTATTAAGAGAAGAGCTTTCTAATCATTAGCCTAGATGATGTCAATGGTAACAGCTTGCACATTCAGTTGGATTAAGAGAAGAACCTTTTCATTGTGTTAAGTTATTACAAAAAAATTATATAATATCAGAAAGAAAACATCAATTTCTTTTACATGTATGCTAATATAAACTAGCTACAAAAAACAACTAAGGAACATACTAAATATTCAAAAATTAAATTCCTATAAAAGCGTTAGTGTCCATTCTCAATACTTCCTGTTTTTACAATGTTAATCCCAACCATGAACAATTTAAATTACAATAATTATTTTTTAAGACTTTAGATAACAAAACAAACAAATAATATCCCATCCTTTATTCTTATTCCTTTATAGAATTCCCTTTTTATGAAGACAAAATAGTTCAAATTCTTGGCCTTTTTAATTCACATTGTCGTATTCTTTTGTAATCCTTTACAATTAGTCCTAGGAGATTTATTGAGCTCCACCTTGTCCTCCCCTGAATCTCTCCCAACATTTTCTTCTAGCTTCTGTCTTTTGGTTGGTCTTTCTTGTTTGGAAGTGGAGGGTTTGACTGACTGTCTGGATGCTGAGCTTGCTGGCTCTTGTTGGGTTTCGGGAGAGGTGGATGACATAATGGGCTGGACTATAAAAGCACCTGAGGTTAAATGTTCTAAGTTGGTGGTCGTTGTAGCATCCGTTAATCTGTTTCCATCTGAGCTCATATCTGGATCAACAGAGACACCTATAGGCCAGGTGGGTGGAGTTTTTCGAATGATGTGTTTGAGTTTTTCCTTGATTTTAACAAAGTGCCGTTTGAACTCGAGACCATCCCCCTGTTATAAAAGAACGATGGGTTGTTATTGTTAGTGCATGAATTTTTTTAACATGATGGCTCCTTAAACAAAGAAATGACTTCTTATACTTAATTGAATGTAAAGTGTACACAAATTTAAAGTGTGCACAAATGTAATGTAAAGTGTGCACAAATCTTAATGTTAACATTTCTAAATTTCCATAATATGTAACATGAATTTAAATTATCAAAATCAAATTTATGAATGATAAATTCTCCTTAGGATGAGACAGGTATATTTATTCTTTAAAATCTTTGTTCTCTTGTAAAAAATAAATTCAAGCTGATCAAGAGTCCAACTACTAAATGCTCCATTTTTGGGAATCTCTCACCCACCAATTTTTTAATCATACACATCTCGACTAAGAAGATAGCATCCCATAAATACTCTTTATAGATTTTGATCTTAACAAAATTTACACGCTTCTGCCATTGTTAGTTTTTAGAACCAACATAATCTCACCCAAGCTATTCTTCAGTATGTAACCAACATAATCTCATCCAAGCTATTCTTCAGTACGTAATGTTTCACTGGCTGATTATTTTATGGGGTGGGTTTATGAGCATGTTTTATACCATTTGGGCTTTTCTCATACAAAATATGAAAAAGGGAAGGGGGAGGAAGTAGAGGTGGCCGCAGTGTATGAACAAATGGGGTCTACAACTACAACTAGTAACTAAAGAACTTAAATTCTAAAATATAACCATGTTGCTTTATCTGTTAACTGAGAGCATTTCATTTATGATAACTGAGAACATTTCATTACCTTTGACAACCTGAAGTCCACAAGTAGATTCCCTGCCATATCAATGAGGCAAATTTTAAAGATGAGACGAGATTTTGTCTTGTCCACCGTGCTAATGGTCAGCTGCAGTAAGAAAGGTATGCAATGTGACATTTTTTACAGAAGAAAATCACAGGTTGGTATTTGATAATAGAGAAGAGTGGGACCAAAATAAGGGTCATCTTTATATTATCACATACCGGTACTACTTCTAAAAAATGTAGCTAATGTCTTGGGTTGCCCAGACTTGCATTTTTAAGTGCCTTCTACAGCAATATCTGTTTAACCTGAAGGAAAGCGCCTTGTCAAAACCACTATGCCAACGAACCAAATGTAAATAAGAAAGTCTCCTATTTCAATAAAGCTAGATAAATCTGCTATAAAAATGTTCTTGTAAAAAAAAAAATTGAAATAAGGGTGATCCCAGTGTCAGTAAACATTTCAAGTCAATTTACAGACATAAAGGACATTTTTCAATGTGACTTATAATTGTAGAGGTACATTGCAAATTAAATTTAATGTCAACAATTTAGCATGTGAATGTTACGAGCAGGGAAAATGCCTTAAAAATTACTAATTAGGCTTAGTCCACACTAACGAATAATCCAAGCCTTGATAAAAGCATAAGTTTGATTTTTAAAGCTAATATGAAAATCTACTAAACTAAAACATGTCAGTTACCATGACAGTAGAATTTGTCTTGACACCATATCCATGAGACTCTAAAAATGTGGACATTTCTTTAACAGTTTCTTGACGTGTCGTTCGAACAAAGAATCTAGTCATTCTTTTCACAAGTTTCTGAAAAGGTGTCTGTTAAAAAAAAAAGTGTTTTAAATGACACTTAAAATAGTCTGCTGGAGCCAGATTTTAAAAAAAATGTTCATGTTCTAAAATGCAATAAGACCACGCCTTAAGTGTTTATATCTCTATATAGATCGTCTTCTTGACACAAATTGTGTCAGAGTCAAATGTTAAACAAAATTATCTAGCAAGATGCTAACTAAAATACTAATCAATGAGATCAAAACAAACTATGAACAGAAAGTAGTTCAACATTAAGTGCAATTATGTTTACAAACCAAGTATTACGGTTACCTGTGACGTTGCAGGGGTACAGGGCATCTGAGAGCTCAGTAGCAAATCATCTGATTGAGCAGGCTGGGAGAAGCTGATTGGATGCCTGACCTCAGCCAGTGGTGATAAGGAATTTTCATTGTTAGGCCTATCCGGTTGTGATAAAATCCTAAATTCAAGGAATATATAGGAAATCATCTTAAATTATGTCATGTCACTAGCACAATATTAAAAAAAACAAAAACACACAACTATTAAGGTGGACTTTTGAGTGTTCTGCATCTTTTATCATTAAAATCTCTTTTAGAGTAACTCTAATCTTAAAATGATATCGTTATTAAAGAACGTGTGATATAGTTATTAAAGAACTTGTGATATAGTTATTAAAGAACTTGTGAAATAATTATTTAGAACTTGTAAAGCTTTACAATTTTTAGAAAAAAAAAAAAAAGAAAAAGTATTATTTAAAAATTGTGCTCTTATATGAACGCCAACAACATTGTGCTCTTATATGAACGCCAACAACATTGTGCTCTTATATGAACGCCAACAACATTGTGCTCTTATATGAACGCCAACAACATTGTGCTCTTATATGAACGCCAACAACATTGTGCTCTAATATGAACGCCAACAAAATTGTGCTCTTATATGAACGCCAACAACATCCAGCCACCCTTGTGGTGATGATAGATGTCCATGTTCATCCATGATTGAATTTCTCCTCTGTCTCTTCACACCGCCAGAACATGTGCAATTGTCTTCCTCTAAGACAAAAATTGGCATTTACATTTTTATTATCATCAATATGAAGGAACAATTTTGAAGAAATAATACTGGAACAATGTTTAATTTAGATTAAAAGCAAATGAAATTTAATTAAGTTACAACACTTCTTATAACTTAATCTTCTTTAATTTTAATAAAGTATATATAACTATAACAAAAAAAATTAAGTACTATGTATAATCATATCCATGATAGGGATGTGACTGTGTATAATCATATCCCATGATAAGATGCTACTGTGTATAAGTATAATCATATCCCAAGCTAAGGAGCTACTGTACATAATGATATCCAACGTTGCTAATCATTTAAAACTGGGATCAAATTTAAAACATTTCATTTCTTACAAATTTTTAATCAACATCCTACACCCCCCCCCTTTTTCAGAGAAGTTTTAAGAGACCCTAAAAAAAATCCACTGTCACCCTTCAGTGTGTGCAGTCATTTATGGCAGGCCCCTTAAAATCTAATCTACTAAATTTCAATCTTGCAGTGAGTCTTTACCATCTTGCAACATAAATCTTTTGTTATAGAACTGATGCTTCTTGATCTGCTCCAAAGTGTATCTTCTTTTGGGGTCTTCTACCAACACTGATCTAAAGAGAGCTGCAATATGAAGACATATATACACACCAAGGTAACAATCACATATTCAAATAGAAGTTGACTTAAAATAAACACTTGAACAAAATGGCTGGATCATAGAACTAGATCAAATTTGTCAAGGTTCTTTAGGCATAACTTGGTAGGACACACACACATTTATATATTACACACACATTCACATATATTATACATGTAATTTATACTTACATGAATTTTTTTTGTTTTGTGTTTTGTTGCCTGATGCTCTCATTTGCCAAAACGTTTGCATTTGTATTCAGTGTAACCATTATTAAAGCTTAACCTCTCTTACTTTCTTGACACAAATTGTTTGTGTCTCAATGTAGAGAGTGATACACATCAATGAGCAGTGCATTAGGAAGAGCAATTTGTCATTAACCCATGATGTCAAGTGCATTTGTTCTGATGAGACAAAGCTATTTTAGACTTTCAAATGTTCTACTAAAATACTAAAAACCAATAATGAACCCAGAGGCCCAGATTGTACAAACATTCAGACAGTAAATTGGACAAGTATGACCAGATAATAGATAACTTGGATTCAAGTTCATATTTTTCATGGTAAGGCCAGGATTTGTGTTGAGTTTTGACGAGATAACATTGTATCAACAAATTTTAATAGAGCAAGTCATATTGTATTGACTCTTCACCGATAACTGGGCATGGGGATCACAGTGCGTGGGGATCCCAGGGCCTGGGGATCACAGTGCCTGGGGATCACAGTGTGTGGGTTAATGTTCAAGGTCTTTTAAAAGTAATACTCACACAAAGCCAGGGTGTCCATTTTCTTCCATGGCTCTTTAGTAATGCATCGTTCTCGCCACTGTCTGTATAACCTGTCTCTCATTATAGGGACATCCCATGGTAATTCTAAATTTAAAAAAAAACAAACAAAAGAACTCATAAATTTTTCTTGTTAAATATGTATGACGTAAGCACTGATACTTCTATAAAATTCTGCTTTCTAAGACTGATGTTAAATTTAACCATTGGATGACCCAATGACAATGCAGATACAACCCACCTCCAGCTAGAAGAGTGACCAGTATAATTGCACATGACCAAACATCGGCTGGTTCGGCTCTGTAGGGTGCACCCTTCAACACTTCAGGTGCTGTGTACGGTTTAGTGCCACACATACGACTGACTTCTCTTTCGACACCTTTGTACTTAAACACAGTTGCCATGCCGAAATCTGTGATTTGAAGTACATCTAGAACAAAACAAAGAGTTTGAAGTACAACTAGAATAAAACAAAGAGTCCAATGATATAAAGGAGAGTAATTTAAAAACTATGCAAAGATGTTTCTCACAGAAACTTACCCCGGTGACTTTTAAGTTTGTTGTTTTCAAAACTCTAAATCAGATTTACAATAGTAAAAAAGCTATTGTAATCTCTCTCTATATATATATAAAACATTTTATAACAATACCCTACAGTCTACAATTTAGCCGCAAATAAAAATTATATAATTTTTTATTTAAATTTGTGCAACCAACTTTGACAAATTTGAAATACAAAAAGACTATTTGGTAAAAATGTTGAATTCACTTCACTTCTATTAGTTACATAGCTTACCATTTTCATCTAAAAGTAAATTTTCAGGCTTTAAATCCCGATGACACACACCACGACTGTGTAAATATTCCTGATGAAGAGCATGTTCCCAATTCTTTAATTGGCATGAAAAAAAATGTATATGAATGTTTTGTCTACAAAGCTATAAATTAAGGCTGTTAGGTCCATACACATTTTAAAAAAGTGAAATTGGCTATATAGTTATTTTAAACTTAAAAACACATACCACCCCTTCAATAAGCTGATGAAAATATTTGAGTCCATCTCTTAACTTCATACCTCTATCAGGCTCTGCCAAAAACAAAATAAAATAATAATAAATAAATAACATTTTCAAAACAAATTTAAAGAAAGTCAAAGTTTCCAGAAGATGTTCTATAGAACACTTCACTAAAAAATATTCAGAGTGACCTTCAAAATGATTTTCTTCTATCAAACCAGTTGCAGCGCAGATGTCGGCACATATTAAAATATCTTATTAGCAACTAAAAGTATTCTTGGAAAATGATGGGGGAAATGGGCCTCAGATAGGGAATTTAAAAGACAGCAGACAATTTTATTGATGTAGGTTTAAATATTGACTTATTGCAATCAATATCCTGACTCACAAAGACATCAAATAACCCAACAAAAATGACAACAACTTAAAGAAGCAACTTTAACTCATCATGTGTCTAACCATTTCATAACTATTAAACTTCTATCTCAAAATGATAAAACACATTTTTTTGGTATAATTCCAGACAATATTTTGTTTTTTGTCAAATGAATATTGATCATTTTAACTTTCTTTCAAACTAAACATAGGTAAATTTCAGGTATACAATAATAAATCAAGCTATAAAACATTATGATGCCAAAAAACTCACCTATTCGATCAAACAGCTCTCCTCCACTAGCATACTTAAGGAATAAATACTCAATGCCCTTTGCATGTCGATATCCATAAAATTTTATAATATTTTTATGGTCCAACATCTTATGAATGCAAATCTGTAAATAAAATTACATTTCCAATCAATAAAAATCCAGAAAGGTAGACTATTCAGAGGCATCAACTGCATCCATCAAGTAGATGTACACATCCATCAAGTAGATGTACACATCCATCAAGTAGATGTACACATCCATCAAGTAGATGTACACATCCATCAAGTAGATGTACACATCCATCAAGTAGATGTACACATCCATCAAGTAGATGTACACATCCATCAAGTAGATGTACACATCCATCAAGTAGATGTACACATCCACCAAGTAGATGTACACATCCATCAAGTAGATGTACACATCCATCAAGTAGATGCACACATCCATCAAGTAGATGTACACATCCATCAAGTAGATGTACACATCCATCAAGTAGATGTACATCATAAGCGACAGTGAACTCACTCAACTACTCAAACATCAACTACATCCATCAAGTAGATGTACATCATAAGCGACAGTGAACTCACTCAACTACTCAAACATCAACTACATCCATAAAGTAGATGTACATCATAAGCGACAGTGAACTCACTCAACTACTCAAACATCAACTACATCCATAAAGTAGATGTACATCATAAGCGACAGTGAACTTACTCAACTACTAAAACTGATTGTGAAAGATTATTTTCATCAATAGTAAATTACTAAATGTATGTATTTAAGAAATTTCAAATGTCAATTTCTAATGTAGGAATGGAACAGGGGATTAAATATTATTGCACTGATATTTGAGACACTGAGTACATTTCATATCACCAGATCTTGCCAGCAGCTCTTCCTCACTCAGAGCAAAGCAAAATAGTATTGTTTAATTTAATAAGCAAAGATACTTTGTTGCAGATTAAGTCCAGTCAATTATTTAATGCTCTGTTCTTTCTTTAGTAAAGGTTTACCTAAGAGCTGTAAATTTGTATTTTTCAACATCTTGATTTAAATATGTATTAGAAGTTCTCCCTAACCTCTTTCCGCACATTTTCTTCCACAGAAGTATTAGTCAAATGTATTATCTTTACAGCCACACATTCCATAGTTGCTCGACACACTGCAAGTTTAACTCTGTAGAATGAACAGAAACAAAAATGTGACATGGAAAAAATGATGAAACTGTAAATTTACAATTATTCTTCTACAGGCAATATTTATTTTAAAAAATGAAAATGTAACTTAACAACCTTCAGAAAAAAAAAATACTAACTGTAGGCCTGGCCTATATGATAGAGCAATGTTATTTCATATAGCTTACTCTCCATAAGCACCTTCGCCCAGAGTTTGAACAAACTCCCATCCCTCCACAAATGGTTGCCTGTACTGTTCCATAGGTGCTGGTTTTATTGTACAGAGATATCACATTTGCTCTCTGCGAAGGCAAAATATCAGTTTATTATTCCAGTGTGGGTATTTTTAAGGCTAATATGAATTATTTACTTGAAAGGAAAATAAAGGCGCTGGAGATGAGATACTTCAGAAGCCCTTTTGCATCTGCTATAGGGACCATATCTCCAATGATACAGTGAAAGAAAGGGTTCCCCAGGCAATTGGGGAGTACGATGACCTACTGGTGACTGTGAAAAAACGCAAACTACAATGGTACGGCCACGTAACAAGGAAACAAGGGCTTGCCAAAGAAATATTGCAGGGCACCACAAGAGGAGGGAGAAGAAGACAAAGATGGGAGGATAACATCAAAGAGTGGACAGGACTAACACAGGGTGATGCTGTGCGTAGTGCAGAAGACAGAGACGAATGGAGGAGAATAGTTCACTTGTCATCTGTGGCGCCCCAACGGTCCAAGGGCTAAGGGACATGATGATGATAATAAAATTTTAAAAAAGTGTACTACAAGTAGGCAAAATATTTTAAAAGTGTAGCTAACAAAAATCCAGTGTCACTTGGTTAGTTGCTTATATTCCCCAACAGCACAGTGGACTGTTTATATTTTGAAGGCTCTACACTATCCTCTACTTTGGTATTAATTCTACAGTATTTGTTGACCAATAATGCTCATGAGGCCAGAAAAATCAATAGGGTGTGTGTGTGTGTCATGTGACCATGTTCCTAAACAGAAATTGGCCAAAGCTTCTGTTGTCATCGTTAAGCCTAATCACATTATTACACCGTTTCATTTAACTTTAACTAAAGTAACAAGATTATTTAAAATATGCACTAAAACTATTATTATGATAATTATAGAAATATTAGGCCCATATTTTAATTTATAATAATTAGCACACATAAAATGTTAACAAATAAATTTATTTCTCAGCTGGATTTTATTTTTTAGATGTGCACATATGAATCTACTTCTGCAAAAAAAAAAAAAGCTGGGTATTATTTTTCTTAAATGGAAAGACAATTCTTCTCGCTAACAAACATTACATGTTTGCAGAATAAATAAAATTTATTAAAAAGTAACAAGTGAAACTACTATATGTTGCAACAGATTTTGTGCAGGTACCAGTAGATCATCCCTCTCCCCCATAGACAGCGACGAGGCCATAACAGGCAATTCCAGATCATACCAGCGAGAAGCCACTATAGGAACTGCTCATTCCTGCCAAAGACAATCAGGGACTGGAACCAGCTTTCAAAAGGAACAGTTGAGGTGACAACACTTGACACATTTGTCTCTATTGCCTCAGGCCTTCCAACCCCCAGTGCATGATACCCTCACAAAGTAGCCTTGCAACCAGTGAAAGATCCTCATCAACACCAGGCACAGAATCATTGAAAATCCCCTTTACAAGCATAGGAGCCAAAATGATCACTAAATTGATCATGGGCCCTTAATATATAGAAGAAGAAAAATTAAAAGAAGGCTCACTTGATTTTTGAGTACAATGAAACTCAATTTTATCTAAAGATAAACATTGTTGAGCAACATATTCTGTACCCAAATGTGTATTAAATGATTTTTAATCTGATTTATAGCTGGATTATTTATTTGTGAATTACAAAGTCTAGATCTAGCATTTGAATTTAAAATTTACAATAATTTGTATATTTCAGTTATTTGGGAAACGATGTAGATGAGGCGACTGATGCCGGTGTTTAGGTTTGTTTGGTGATTTAAAATCTTAAAAGCTTTGATTGCATTTTCCAAATCTTTAAAAGTATCAAAATAGCAATTTAAAGCTAAAATTCTTTCAGGATTCATTATCAAGCTGAGGTGTTATCACTACTAGTACTACTATGAACGAGTAATACTTCGCCAGCATGATTGACAGCGGGCTTTGGTTTGATTGCCTGGACTACCAATACTAATAGCTCTTTAGAATCTGTTGGTAGTTTACTACAGGGGTGACGACTGAACGCCTCTAAGTCAGAGTCCCGCACCACCGAGGCAACTCGGAGATGTCACATGGGGTTTGCCTTTTCGTGGCCTGCCTGACTAGTAGGGAGGTTCCATCCCGAAGCCAAAAACCCCGGCCACTTGCATGATTCCCAACGCTACGGAAGTAACACAATAAGATGATTACTTGTTGCCGTTAATAAATATGAGGTCTGGGTGGCGGTTAAAAGCCATACCTATGATTTTTGCTATGCGGCCCTGAGAAAGCAACTCGTAGGCGACCGTTTCGTCCCAACCTGGACAACTCCCTGGACGGTGGGGGGAGGTAATGCAGCACCTTTCCCCCCGGAGAGGAAGCAAAGCCGTTCAGTCCCAAGGAGAGTGGACCGCGAACGCTTTAAACGCAGCGTTTTCAGTCGAAGGATGTCCCCCAGGCCAGGGGGGAGGTTCCCGACATGCTTCTGCACTGGGTCTTATAGTTAAAATGCGAATATTTCAATAAACAGTTCCCGGCCGAGGCCCCTGGACCCCTCTTTAACTGGAGGGTATTTCCCAACACCCCCCCCCCCCCCCCCCCACACAACAAAACAAAACAAAACAAACGTACTTGAAAGCGTCCAGTTTTTTCCAAATCATGATTTGGTCACCCTAGACTACACACTTAACTAGACCAAAGATTAAATACGGAGGCGTAGGCAGGGTCGGGTTAACCCATCTTGGTGCCCTAGGCACTAACCCACATGGGTGCCCCCCTACTGCCCCGGGCCCCCGATCCTCCACTGACTGTTGGTATGTTCAATATTATGCAAAAAACTAACAAAGAAAAACAGTTGTGACATGTAAACACATATGTTTGTACTACTATCACTCATTTAAAAGCAACAATAAGGTATTTCTGTATTAAAATTAATATGGTAGTTAATTAATTTTGTAATAATAGTAGACAAAAATACTATAACTTTTTTGATATATAAGAAAGTCAGAGAGAGACAGCACACATTTACATTGTCAAGTTCTTTTTTCTAGATTTATGTCTGGCAAAGTTTTTGAGTACATCATCAAAGTGAATTTTGCGCAACAAGTCTGTCTCAATCATCAGCAAAGATAAGGAATCAAGCCTTTCTTGTTTCATTTTCGATCTACTTGGATTTTTTGTACGTTTCAACTGAGAAAAAGAGCGCTCAGTTCGTAACCATTAATGTTAAAAATATGCGCAAGGCGATTTCTACATTTGGAAAAGCACACTCAATGTTGTCTCTAACTATTACTTTGTAGAGTTCTGCATGACTGAACGTGTTGTTCTCAGATTTTGATGCACGAAACTTGTGGCAATATATGAGTGGAACTGTTGTAGTTCAGTATATAAATTATTGTTCAGATCTTCAGGATAAGCATTTATTAGTCCTTCACAACACAATGTTTGTGGTACATCGACCAAATAAGAAAATCTAACTGTTAGATCATTGTATACACCTGTCCTCGTCTACTCATCTCTGTCTCAAGTTTGTCAACAATGGTGTAGAAAGCAGATTTACCAAATTTGTGTCTGGCATTCTGAGATACCTCAGGGGCATCACCATCAATGACCACTGTCTTTCGTTTACGATTACGGGTCAAAGTTGACTTATCCACACCTGGTGTTATTTCTTTTGCAGCTTCTTCAAATCTTTCAAATTTATTCCTTGATTCATGCAAGTGATCTGCTAGTGATGAATACAAAGCTAGGTATGTTAACATGCAGTCTTTATGAGTAGCGCTTTGTTCATGATTATCAACTTGAATGTTATTTTTCCAGTCACTGAACCCATTTTTATCAGCCAAACTTGAGGAACCTTTAGGCACAAAAAGTTTACAAACAAAGCCGTACACAGGTCCTGTGGATGGTGAATAACCATTCTCTCCTGTACTGCTCACCATTTGCTTTTGTGCCATAGAAGAGTTTTTGAGAACAATATCTTGTTCCTTCAGCATAAATACGGCAAGATTTATCAAAGGGACCATAATGATGCTGACAGTTAGTGGGCCCACAGTCAACCCAGTAAGCCACATCATCAGCCGAGAAGTCAATCCACAGTCCTGGCTCTACTTCTTGATTTATTTTATCATCTTCATCTTTATCATCATCTTCAGCAGACTGAAGTGGGTCACCACAAATTTCATTTTCAAGCACTAATGCAATGTCTGGATTTGCAGAACAGCCTATAGTAGACTTATCAAGAGGGTTGATAGTGTCAGTAAAATCCTGTTGTTGGACCAAGGTTAAATAATGTGCGATTCAATATTACATTTGTGATTTCCTTATGCCATGCAATTACGCTACCGGGACAATATACACATTTTTCTTGAGGACCCCCAAATGCTTGGTGCCCAAGGCATGTGCCTTGTTTGCCTAATGGTTAATCCAGCCCTGGGCGTAGCTAGGTGTGTGGAGCTCACCTGGTGACACGATCTCAGTGGATGACACCAAATTAAAGAATTGCATATTTACAAAGCACACAATGCTCGGTCTAACCGAATTTCATAAAAGTATAACCGATCAAACGAAAATTTTCCACATATGTCACCAATCTGAATGTCTGCTTTATTAATTAAAAGTTCAAGCTTGATGCGTCAGAAATGAGCTGACCTTATAATTAAGTTTTGCCCATGATTCAAAGCCCATTGGAGTGTTCAGTAATTTTAGTAAGTAACAGGAAGGTATATAAATAGGCTGCGGCTATTCGGACCCGGTATCAGAAGTGAGAGGTTGGGTTTATTAACAAAATATTATTTGTTGGGTCCCATTTGGTCTAAAGGGACCTGGGTCCGAATAGCGGCGATGTGTATCTGGTTCCATTTAGACTAAATGCATGCTATTCGGATGTCATTTGTGGTATTTTATTTTAGTTTAACTGAAGAATTATTTTACAAACATATGGTGTAGTCCATTCAATTATCTTTCATTCGATACCAAATTTCATCTTAACTAACAAACCCAACAATAATATTTTAAACATTTTTTAATACCAACCTCTCACTTCTGGTAGCGGGGTCCGAATAGCCACATTGATATAATATAA